TCTTCCCTTTTCCCCCTCGCTTTCTTGAACTGACGGCAGTGGCTAAGAGAGCTGCGTGACGTGATCATGAGTGACTAGATAACTCTCTCTCTCTCTCTCTCTTGTAATTTTTCACTACTTGCCTGTCTACCACGAAAGCTTTCGCTTAGAGTTTGCATTACTTTTACTGTAGACGCGTTCATTACGTGGCTTGATTTTCGATTCTATCATATATTTAACTTTTAGGCTTTTGTCCATGATTCGTGTATTCTTCAAAGTTATTACAATTATGTACTTGAATGAAATTATTCGATGATTATATTTAGTTTATCTTATGATTGAATAAGTAGTAGACAATCAGTTTGGTCAGGCATCATACGAGTTATCGGAAGTAGTCAATAGAAGTAAATCAGGAGTATAACTCAATATAAAGTCAGACAATGCTGAAATCATTACAAGTCTCAACTGACTTGAATGTCACATTTGATAGTGTGCAACTAAAAATACATGGAATTTGTTTTTATAAAGATTATAGTTTCTAATTAAATGATAATCATACATTACATAAGTATGAATTTAGCATTATTTATTAGCTAAATTAGAAATAATAATTTGTAGTAGTACAACCAAATTTTCAGTCAGAAATTGCTTTGGCGCAAAAGTTATAAAAGTTACGGAATATCTATCACTTTTTCTAGATTTTTTAAATAAATTATTCTAGCCAGACATCACGAGAATCAGACGAACGGTTAATTCAATATTTCTCAAATGAAACCAGTAATTTCAGGCCTTTTTCAATCAACGTCAATATACTTTATCATTGAAGAAGTGTGTTTATACAACATGACACCTCACAAACACTCCAACGAGCAAATAACCTCTCTTGTACGCAAACTTTTGGAACGTGGACGATCCATTCTAGCATCGCGTTTCATTCGCGAGAGCCACTTTAAAGTTAATAAATCAATTTAAAATGCGCTTGAAGGCAAACAAGGATTCCGATTCTGACCATCAACATCGTGTTATTGAAAAGCCTCGGCATCGAGAAATTCAACTCTCACCACACCCATTCTCATGTGTCTATATAAACTCACATACGCACAAAAGTAATCAAGTTAACAAGCTGGTAAAGCGATATAACCTCACAAAAGAGAAAGACTGACAAAGACTGTACGTTTTTTGCATCAACATTGCTAAGAGTCCAATGGATGAATGAGTTTACAAAGTGAGTTAAAAAGATAATATCTATTAGAAAAAAAAAAAAAAAAAAAAGTTTCTCTTATCAGCTGTTGGCCCGATGACGATTAGCCGATCGTTGTAATAAATTTCGTGTACACAATTCGATTCGCCGATCGCGCGGGTATGCAAGCGAGACACGCATACGAAACTCTCCCGTGTAGCCGAGCAAAATTTGGGAACCCGCGTTGCGCAACAGGGACGCGTATTATTATGCAATTCTGATTTTATGTAATGCTGTCGTTTGTCGCAAGCCAGCAGCGAAATGTTAAGATAAAAGGAAAAAAAGAAAACGGAGCCTCTAACGAGGAGATAGCGCGCGCGGTATCGCGAGAGTACGAGAGCCGTCGCGGTAACCTTCGATTATTACTTTTTGGCATATTTTTGACTGCCGGGACTTTTTTTTCCTTTTACCGCCACAAGCTTACAAAGAAACAAATCTTAAGACTATCAGGTCTGGAAAACTGTCGGCTACGAGCTCCACGCTTGGATTTTCCACGAAAACGAAAAATCTTTGGGCGCCCGAGATCTGTTGATTAAGTTTATAGGGGTTTGTGGCTCGAAAATTTTTCACGCATTTGGCACAACCTTATAATCTCACGTACCAAAGTGGAAAAAGTGTCGAAGTTTGTTAAACGGGCATTGAAATTAGATTGAAAAATTATATTATTAGGCAAATACTTTGTATTTCATTGAACTTTCGCACATCTGAGTCTTTATCAAAGGCTTTCCACACTTTGGAGGATGAGATAACAATGACTGAGCAACTGTACTGCAAAATTTGTACAGTCCCGTCCATCCGGAGGGGCAAATTCTTCTATACTTGACCTCCGAAGGTCCCGAAACCGTCAGCTCCACACGAGACGTATCGAGATACAAAACAACAGAGATAAAAAAAAAACAAAAAACAGACAGCCTTCTTTGTTTTGAGTAGAGATACAATCTCTCGGTGCAGCAGCAATGGCGAGACGAGTGCAACAGGTACAGGCACTGTGTCATCGACCTCGAAATCGAAGCTCCCGAAAAACGGTTGCAGGGCTTTCACTTTTGTTCGACTGTCGGACACCGTTTGGTCAACTGTTCGACTAATAATCTTCTTTTTTTTTTTTTTTTTTTTCTCCATACCTTATATCCGCGCGAGGGTGATACCTAGAAAGCGCTCGGGACAAAGTTTTATTGTCTTTCGACCGCGCTTTTTTTCTCTTAACGATCTCTGAAACTTGAGGGAAAAAAAAAAAAAATCGAGGGGGTCCATTACGCGGAGTCTGGCCGAGCGCGCGTCGCCCGAAAATTCGCGCCCGGCTGACTTTCTCTTTGCCGTCTCTTAATTGGCCCCGAGAGAGGTCCAGCCTCTCCTGCCCCCTTCCTTTCCTCCAACACAGAGGCACAAAAGTCCGAAAAAATTACCGCGACCGAAAAACTTTCACCCGCCGATCTTTGACACTTTGTCGCTGCAGGTGTCTACAAACTTGGGTATCACCGCCGATTTGCGAAACTCGATGCACCACTATCTCCGCCCCCCCCCTCCTCGTTCGGTTTATCTATTTCCCAAGCGTGCAAGGTGTTTCTCTTTTCCTCTTACGTGTGTTTTCGAAGCGACGCGCGAGGAATGCCAATAAACGCACACGCGCACGCACCAAAGCCGCGAGCTCCGAGGAATCCAAGATCGCAACTGTACGGGTAACAATCAAAGAATCGCCATAACCGCGTTATGTAATGAAAAAAAAAACTTACCGAGTGGTCGCGTGGGTGGTTCCTAGGGGCACGATGCTCGTGCGCCTGAGGACCTCCAATATCGTGGCCTCGGTGATCGGTAAGAAGGGCAGGTCCTCGAGGGCTGGCATGCGCGATCGGCCGACCACCTGGTCGAGCTCCTCCTGAACGGCTTTGGCAGCTTCCGGATGGTGGAGCATCAGCACGAGAGCCCACTCGAGGGTCGTCTTCACCGTCTCCATGCCAGCGGAGAAGAGATCACCCAAGATCTGCTGTAACTGGCGATCTGCAAAACCACGAAAAAGGGCACGTTTATAAAGTTCCGGTTGGAGAAATAGGCAGGAAAAAAAAATCGGTAAGGATCGGTATACCAACCATGGTCTTTCCCCTGGAAGAGCTTCTCGGGGTGGCCCTCGGCCTTGGCCTTCTCGATCTCGAGCAGGTACGTGTCTACGAGGTCGCGTACATTGGCCCCGTCGAAGGTCTCCCTGTGCTGGTCGACGGTCTCTTGAAAGAAATCGGCCATCTCGGCGCGATTGGCGCTTATTTTGGTCTTGACCGACTGTAGCCAGGGCAGGTGGCGGAAAACCGGGATGTAGTTGACGAAGCTCAATCGGCCAAACAGCCGGAAGCCCTCCTCGATCAGGGCCATAAAGCGCTTGAAGCGAGCGTCGTTGTGCCTGAACCGCACGCTCATTATGATGGAGCAGATGACGTTGGTTATCGACAGTCCGAGTGAAAAAGAGACGTTGGTCGGTGCCCCCTCGCGAGCCTCCAGACCTCGGATGAACAGGTCGACCTCTTTCTGATGGAAAAAAAATCGGACGCGTCAGTTGGTTCATCCACTTTTTGTTTCTTGGCGCTTTTACGCTCGTCCGAGGCTGTGATACTCACCATTATGGTCGATTCCATGATTTTTTTACCGCTACCTCGGCAAGTCATGCCGAAATTGCGCAGTTTTTCGTGAATGAACCTTCGCTGGTCCTTCCACAGAGCGCCCTCGGAATTGATGATTCCTGCGAGGGGGAAAAGAAAAAAAAACCAACAGTAGTACCACGACCGAGAGTCAAGAGTGTGCGTGTACGAACAATCGTCGACCTGAACTACTGGAAAGTGACGCGCGCTATACACGTTGTATACTGGGACTCCCCTTACAGAACTGCCGCGAAAATGCCGATATCGAGTTGTGTAGCTCGAGCGTAGCGATTATTGCCGATGGGATCAATGGCCATGAGCTAGCGGTCGAGAGGGAATCATCGGCTCTTGAACTCTGGAGCTGATAAAAGGCTCGCTCTTTGGTTCGCGATCGAAGATATTTGGTCGCCCTCTTGTCGTTCGTGAAACTTTTTCTCTCTTTCTCTCTCTTTCATCTTACTATTCAGTACTTTATCCAATGAAATAAAAAAATAATAGAAAAACACAAACTGTCCTATAACGATACTTTTTCTCGCGATACCGATCTTTTTCGCGTGAATGTATCTTTTGTACATTACCCGGGTGCGAAAAAATGAGAAACATGGGCAATAACTCCCGTCACGCGTGTTTTTCACCCCCTCGAATCATTTACGCACCACACCTCCAGTGTAACAGGTGAAAAAGATGATGAGGGGGAAAAAAAAACAAAAAAAAGACACTCACCATATCCTCCGAGTATGTTGAAAAACTCGGTGTGGGGCCTGCCGGTGAATTCCTCCCGGCGAAAGGTCTCCCTGATGATCTTGTAATCACTGAGCACGACAACCAACTGAGTGCCCAGTTTCGCCGAGAACATGGACCCGTAGCGTTTGGCCAGCTCGCCGAAGCGGAGGTGCACGTCGACGTCCTTCATGAACGGCAGATAGCCGAAAATCGGTAAGCCCCAGGGCCCAGGTGGTAACGACAAGAAACGCCGGTACCACTGAACGAGCCGCACGAACAGGAGCACCCCGAAAAACACGAGGAGCGTACGGAAGGCGTCGGCGCGCCCCCCGCCGATCATACCACCGCACAACCACTCGATCCCGTGCTCCACAAACATTGTTCCTCTTCTATTTTTTTTTTTTTCTGTTCTTTATTTCTTTCTTTCTTTTTTTTTTTTTTTTTNTTTCTTTTGCTAAAAATATAGTATACTTTTAATACTAAATAATTATTTTTATTGATTACTATTTCAAATACAGTGCACGGCAAAATCCATTTTTTCCATCATGAAGAGCGTAGTGTATCGCAATGTGAAAGAAAACATTATTTAGAAAAAATACGTTTAAGTTGTTTGAAAACTATTTAAATATTTTATTGTAGTGCTGTGCACTAAATTTTAATATATTTAAAGTGTATTGCATTTATTTGCCAGAACATTTTTTATTTTAATGCTTGTATTGTATTGTATTGTGTACAGTAATTAATAAAAACAGTTTCTAGCAAAAAAATGCATTTTATTCAGGAAAAAAATTGTACTTATAGTGTTTAAAAATCTATAAAATAATTATACTCACGTTCGAATAAATCATATGTTTTGGAGGATCTGACAAATAGTATTACTTTTTTTTTTTTTTTTTTTTTTTTTAATTTGCAAACAGAAATTAGAAGATCGTTCAAATGGAGTCGATGGTTTGGATCCGCATAGTATTCTGCACCATTGCATCGGAAATTTGTTGAATCATTTGGTGTTTGGTAAGGTATACGAGGAAGATGACGAGGACTGGAAATGGCTGCAATGGGTACAGGAAGAGAGCGTTAAGGATATAGGAGTGGCAGGCCCACTAAACTTTTTGCCATTTCTTAGGTTGGTGGTAAATGTATCAAATAAATAAAATAAAAAATTTTTTTTAATGAGACGTAATACAAGATTACTGTACTTTAAACAAAGGTTTCTGCCACATTACGCCAAAACCATGAGCCGCTTAATGGAGGGAATAAAAAAAACGCACGAGATCTACCGCAAAATACTGGAGGAACATAAAAAACATCCGAAAGAAACAAATAGCGTTTTGGCAGCTTATGCGGAGGAAATGAAGCGCCGTAGAGAAAACGGTGAGCCGCTTGGTTCTTTCACCGAAACCCAGTGCTTTTACCTTTTGGGTGATATGTACGGAGCCGGAGTCGATACGACTTTGGTGACGATTTGGTGGTTCCTGCTTTTCATGGCTGCTTTCCCCGATGAGCAGGTGAGAGTCCGTGCTTACTGTACTCTTTCATGCGAGTATGTATATTGTGGAAAACATGTTTTGGCCATTGAAATTTCGATCGGACGAATTTTTCGCTCACGTGTCACACTGACAGGAAAAACGAGTTTTGATGGTCCAATGAAATATATTTTCTGAAGATTATAGAAAGTGCCTTTGAAACGGTCCCATAAGCATTTTTCCTCGAGGTGATGCTCGCTTCGAATATTTTCCGTACACTATAATTTTATTTAACTGGTACGTGAACTCGTAGTTACTTTACATACATAACTGCTCCTA